AATTGTTCATCAGCAAGTAAATGAATAAATGGACTACATTTATATTACATATGTAAAATAAATGCAATTCTATACTACATTTAATATGAATGAATTTGAATTGTAAATATGAATACAATCTCAAAAACAGCATTGAGTAAATAAATTGCAGAATGATTAAAAGATTATGATACTGCTTATATGAAATCTAAGAACAGAAAAGCATATGTTGTTTATAGATGTATGCATATATAGGAGGAAATATAAAAGCATGCTTGGGAATGATACAATCAATTTCAGGATAGTGGTTACCTTTACAGAGTAAGGAAGAAGGGGAAAAGATTTGTCCTCTATCTGAAATAATGTATTTCCTCAACAACAACAAAGATTTGAATCAGATACAGATGTAAGATGATGAGTACTTAAATAGCCAAATTGTTTTCTGTACTTTTCTCATATTTAAAAGGTTTTATAATTTAAAAAATGAAATACTTTTTATCACAAAAGTTTAGAAAAATTAAAATCACCTGTAACCTCACTATTATTAGATTGAAATCTTAACGACCAAAACAATTTGCAGAATCTTTATCATAACGCATTCTCAGTTACAAAATACTGGGTTTAGGGGTTATCAGGTTGCATTAGTTTTTAGAAGCCAAACAGTCCAACTCCAGTGTGGCTACTGTGATAGCTGAAACCAGAGGAAGAATTCAGCACAGTCCCCTGAAATAAAACTTTAAAAACTTAAGCATGCCAATAAAAAGCCTAAGTAAACACTGTAGAAAGCTATGACCTAAAATGTGAATTAGCATCAGTCAGGAAGCAATAGTGGAATTGGGCCAAAACCATGAGAACTATAATTTATTTTTCTCTGTGAGTAATCCAAACTGTCATCACATTTCTAGATCATTCAATCACATAATGTGTAGTGTCCGTCTATACAGACAACCTAAAATAAGTTACATGCAGTTCTTATTTGAATCACTTCTGTTAATTCTGTTCACAATCACAATTTATAAGTGTTCTTTTTACATGCTGATGCTGACATCTCGCTAACTAGGAAAGCTAATGGGGCAGTTGGTGAATAAGACAGAATGCTGGGAAGCATCATCTTACCTAGTAACAAGGATCCACACGGAAGAAACAGAACAGGAAAAGCCTACAGCCTGTAACACCTGGCCAATTTGCTGTGAATGAAAGATGCTAATACCTTGCAGGGGTGTATGGCCTGTCATATTACCGTAGTAATTCAGAAATTTTCAATCATTGTCTTCAATTATTTATTACCCCTTCTGATTCTCCTTAATCAACTGGGTTTTTCTTTTCCAATTTTTATTGTGAAAAGTTTCAAACATACAAAAAAGTTAAAGTAATAGTACTCTACCAGATAGATTCAATAATATTGACTGTCTTTGAGCTAGTCTTAGAAATCTAGAACAGTGAGATTTATGTGTATTTTACAGTAGTTAAAAGTCACCAACTTCCAAAACATAGCACTGATAACTGCAACTTTACTTAGTTCTGGCATATATAAAATATAGTCTGAATATGTAGAAGATATTCAATCTCTTTTATTTCTCTGAATATTTATTGTGAGCCTACTGTGTGCTAGATTCTGGGATAGTAAATAGCAAAGGATGAATAAAGTATGGTCCTGCCCCACTGAAGCTCACAGTTTGTAGAGGTAGACATGTAATCAAATCCATACTGAGCACTGTGACTGAGAAGTGCCATGAGGACCCCAGGGAGAAAATATAATGCTTTCATAAAGGAGAGCATGTGTGGGTGTGGTTCAGGGCCTAAGGGGACTGAATTTTGACTGATGGGAAAGATTTCAGATTGAATAAACAACAAATGCCAAAACCAAGCACACCACAGATTTGCAGGGGTGGCTACAGAATAGAGCAATAGAAGGATTTTCAAGTAGAAAGGTGATGCCTGATTGGCTTTTAAGAAGTGAATTCTACCATACTAAGAAGAATAGTAAGGGATTAGAGGCAGGAGTGCCTCACCTCTCTCATGGTCATGAGAGTAGATCCATTCACTCACTGGATGTGTATTGCATGCCACACCAGTGATACAATAACCATATAGTAGTCCCTGCCATCATTGAGCTTAAGGTCTGCTTCCACTTGTCAGCAAGTCACCTTTGATGCTAATTCATTCTAGTTTCCTCCTTGTTCTGTTAGATTTCTACTTTTTAAACAACAGAAAGCTGTTGTACTAGTTATCCCCCAACCTAAAGACAATTCTCTAGAGATAATAAGAAAAGAAGCTATATCTTTCTTTATATTCCCAATAGCTGACACATTGTCTGAAACTAAATGAATCCTTGAGATATTTAGGAAGTAAAATGAACAAGCATGGGTGGCCTTTAGGACAGGAGTGTGAAAAAAAAATGAAAATGGTAAGAGTAGGTGACAGTGACCTAAGGATGGTGTTAATCAGCTGAGGTAAGTAATATCAGAGGATGAGTGGAGCTGGGGAAGAGGGTCAGCAGAGAGAAGAGACAATGGATTCATTGCTGGCACATTGAGCTGATGTTGTCCATTAGGCAGTTGACGAGCCTCTTCATCTCCAGTCTGCACACGTGATCCAGTTGAACTTTTAATCCACAGGAACATGAACAGAATTGCTCCACTATTGAAAAATAGATTGTCCAGTACCATTAGCCAAAATTTGTAACATTTGAATTAATTCTTTATTAAGACCTTACTTCCCTAGATATGTACTATTAGAAATTTACCCCTTTGGGGATTTATTTTAAGTCAGTTCATAAAGCATCAAATGAATGAAGAAATGTAATATTGATCAGAGACTTGAAAAGATCATATGATAAATATAATGGGTATGGAGAAATACTCAAACAAGATAAAGCTAAATGAGAGAAAATAGCATAAAATATTTTAAATTATTTTATGTCTTTGGCTAATGCAGTGTCCTTTCTTTTGATGTTTGGGTGTTTTTACATTTGCTGTTTGTTTTTTGGCTATGATTCAAGTATCTCCTTTTATCTAGAGTCACCTTTTAAACAGTTGCACATAGTGTTATTTGACAGCTTAAATTAGTTATTATAATAATGCAAGCTTCCATATGGGGATTATATAGTTAATGTATTATTAATAAAATAGCCACTTAGATAAATTTGATTCCTCTGCTGTTTTAAAATTCATTTGTCTCTTCATTAGGTTTTGCAATAGACAATTTTAAATTCCTATCTTCACAAAGTAGAAAGAAGTATAAACCCCTTTTCTCTTTTCATAACTGAATTTTCCTTTAATTCTTTTGTGCAGAAGCATGAATGTTTTCTGACATTCTAAGTTTGTTAAATTCTAAGTTATGCAAAAGATTTAATTTTAAACTTACACCAGAATTATAAAATATATGTATGTACAATATTTTCACAACCACAATACATTTTAAGGGGAAAATAATATCATGTGAAATATTTTCTTTACCATGTAGTCTTCAGCAAGCAGAGACAGGCTTTTCTGAAGTAAGATTAGACAATAGAGCCAACTTCATTTTCTATGCATGTGAGCGGAGAGGGCTTGAGGTTATTAGTTGAAACCGAGTAACCTTTCCAGGCTTTCATCTCTTTCTTTTCAAATTTGAATATGAAAAGCATATTCAAGTCAAAGACCATCACTTTAATGACATTTGGCAGTCATTTGATTTATTAGGTTTTAGAAAAAATTTTCCTTTAAATATTTCATCATACTATGCTAATCCCAGTAATATTGCCAGCTGCAGCCTTGTACCTGTATTAGTGGAGACAGAATGGTGTGGAATTTTCTCTGTCATCCTAGTAAAATTTCCATGAATCTACTGAATAATAAAATAACCTTATTGAAATATTCAGATTTGAGTTTTTAGTTAAAGTATCTTAGAATACATAATAAAAGAAAATGTCTTTTGAAAGAAGGGGATAAAATTACTTCATCAAATATTGAGAGGGTTTGACAGCAATGGAAATTGTTCTTTATGGGGATATTTTTGCAGTAGGGCACTTATACTTTTCAATTTGATTAGTTATACTATATGCTCTGAAATACCTATATAATCACTATGGCGAATTTGCACACTAATACACATTTAACAGTGAATTCCTAAAAGCTAGCCATATAAACAAGTGTTACTTTCATGTTTTTCTAAATATTACTTCAAGTTATATAATTTATGGTGACATGTCTCTGAATCTAGCAAAGAAGAATTTTGACAGGAAAGAGCAAATTTTAAAAAATTATTTTGGTGCTATCTAATTTTTAAATTATCTGTTATTTGAAGTCATTATTCTAGGAGACATTTATGACTCATGATAATGTCTGTGATGACAAAATAAAGGATCAAAGTGAAAATTAAGCAGATATCATCTTAGTTGTTAATTGTGTAAATGTGAAATAAACAAATTGCAAGAAAATATATGTGCTAAAATGGATATAAAGTTTGGTTTCTTTTGTTTGAAAATGTGCTACTTACTGAATGAAATATACTATAGCAGAATATATGAGAATGATGTGTAGTTTCTGCTCTAGTTAATATAGATTCATATAACCACATTTGTTAGCATAATAGTGATAAAGTGTTTAATAGTGATCTCTGAATAATTGAAACTTTCTCAGGTACTATAGATTAAATAAAAGCAGTGGTAAACATGTACTTCATTGCACAGTTTGAAACAAGGCCAACTGATGCTTGTCATTCTAAAAGCAATCTGAGATGAAGATCTCACAGTATTCTCTCCTGATAGACTGCTAGTGGGGTATTTATAGCCTCGAATGTAAATCAGGACACTATTGCCATGACACTGTTAACTTCAAACCCTGGGGCATCAGAATCTCATTCTCTCTCTCTCTGTCGTGAATAATCTATCATGTGTAACATACGGTAGTATACACTGCTTTCCAGAAAAGAAAGCCATTGGCCATCATATATTATTTTAAATCAATAGTGGAAAGAATAAAGGATCTTTTGTTTTGATAGCTTTGTTTCTTTGTTGATTATTGGTTTTGCTTTTTTAGCAGCCATTAGAAAAAATTCGGATTGAGATCATAGCTCTGTGCCTTAATGATTCTCGAATAACCATGGATGACACTATCCAAAGGCTGTTCATTGAATGCCGATTCTACAGTCTTCCTGCTGAAGAGACACCTGTGTCACTTCCAAAACCCCAGAGTGGGCAGTGGGTCTACTATAATTATAGCAATGGTATGTATGATTGATTTTTATATATGTTTATCTTTTTTGACTAAGAAAGAAGCTGAAGAAACATGTTTAGCAAAAAGTTTAATTCTCTAATGTTCATGTAGATTCATGAAAGTCTTGTCAGACTAGATTAATAACAGTCAAACCTGTCCAAGCATTAAGAAAATAAAGTTGAAGTAATACTAAAGTGAAGAGAAGACAAAACAGTGGAAAAGCCGTGTATTTAGTTGTTCCTGCTGTAAGATTAGAAAATGCCACCTAAATCTACAGTTAAGTTTAATTATACAATATGATATTTCAAAGGGCTAAAGTACTAGTTTTTTAATCATATCATTCAAATCATTCAGTAACCTAATGTTTTCTACCTTTCTGATCAGTGTCATCACATAGATGTTTTTACAGTACATACATGTCTCTCCCAGTGTATAGATGTTCAGGGTTATAACTGAGTGGAACGTAGGTTCTTACAATGCCTTCTTGATAAGCCCACACATCATTGCAGCAGGCAGGGTTCGCTCCTAGGGCTTGGAGTATCAATAGTAAGTCAGTCTACTGGACCAACACAGACCCAATTAAATACCCTGTAAGTTCTTAGACCAATCAGTGTAACAAGTTTTTAACAATATTATGTAATCATCAGTATATAATTAGAAAGGGGGAAAATGATCTTATCAGCCTGCTGTGAGTGAAAGTTAAAACTGCTTAGTGTGTTCTCCACAGCCATACCTTAAAACAAATCATGAGGATGGAGTGCTGTGCTACCTTCAGCAGAACAGGCCACCACTAGTTGAACACTGATTTTTTTTCACCACTCCTACAAGCTGCATTTTAAGAAACTTGAATAATCTTGCTTCTATACCAGCAGGATTACAAATGCCCGAGGTAACTTTATTTTTTTTACAACTGAAAATTTTAGAAATATGTTCATTGAGATGGTAATCTGGACTATCCAAAGTACTGGTCCAGTCCTCCCTGTATCCCCGATTCTTACTAATTATGTGAAATTTGTATATGACATTTCAATTTCATGATTCCTTGTTTCTTTTCTAAAAAATAAAGCTCTTTCTAAGATTCCTTCTAGCTGAAATTCTACAATAACAGGTGACTTAAGAAATCACACGTGAAATAAGTAGTATGGTCAGGATTCCTCCTTCTTTTCATTCACTTGATATAAAAGAAGTATTTCCAAAATATTTTCTCCAGCTTCCTAAAGATCCTTAGTTGCAAAGCACCAGAAAAGTAAACCATATCAAAATATTATTAGTAATGAAAGAAATGTTCAATTAATTAATTTTAATGAAGATACCCCAAGAAAAGAGACAAGCTTCTTTGACTTTTGTATTATTCTTAAAAAGGTCAGCAATAGAACGTTTGTTTAGACTAGAAACAAAATTGTTTTTTGGAAGTTGATTGACATTGAGATATCTGGTCATGTAGTAGAACAGGTGTTTCCATTTGCTTAAAGAGCATTGCAAATTCTTCTTTGGATCAAATCTGTGATACATGCTCAAGTGTCCTGAATTTTCTACATTCTCGCATTTTACCAAGGATTGTTAGGAGTTTGTTGGTGGTTGGTGGGTGGGTGGGTGGGTGGTTGGTTGGATGGCTGATTGGTTTTTCCCCTTTACTGCAAGGTATCTTACTATCTAATCGATATTTTAAGGGTCGCTTATATTTCTAATAAAGTAGCCATTTGATAGCAAGTAAACCAATAAACTATTAGAATCATTTATGATAGAATCACTTCAGTAGAACTGTTTACTGTACTTTTCTTCAGCTTTTATTCCTAACTAGTGAGATTTGACTACGTGGAATTTTCAACATTAATTGGAAAGAATTTAAAGGCTATTTATCTGTGGGGAGGGGAGAGGCATATGCTCTGCTTAGAAGCAAACTAGTGCTGTTCTATATTTATTATATCTGAAAAAGCTGAAGTCCTAAGACATCTGCAAGTTTGAGAAATTATTGATAATAACCTTACAGGAAATTTTGGTTTTTTTCATTTAAGTATGACATATTGAAATGTTTATTCTTAAATTACTATTTTTGCATTGTTGTTGCAGGGAGATCTCCTGAGTCTTTGGCTAATAAGCAACTATTTCACCTAATTATTGAAGTGATTTATCATTTACTTGTTACTTAATATAGAAGGTTAATATAATATAGCCTTTTGTCTTCCAAATCTCATTAAATGTTAATGAAAGTTATTTTATTTCCAAACTGACTTTTAAAATCAAATGGAAGAGTTAGAAGAAAATTAGTGCATGCTGTCTCCTGTTTGTCTCCATTAGAAGGGTTAGCTGTGCCTAGCCGTGATTTTTACTCTGCACCATGATTTGAATCTATGCAAAAGGAATTTGAATGCCGAGGTCTAAATTAGGTCCATAAGCTGAGCAGTGCAGACTGGTGATCCCCAGGATTATTCATAATCAGATTCAGTCTTTATGAAGAGGTGTTAATACCAGTTCTGCCTACACATACAAATATATCTTCTTAGGACTACTATCACTGAAAAACTCAAGTTGAATTCACTTGCTAGACATTGGTTGCCAGAATAAAACATTTGTATTTTATTGGGTTTAAGAATTTTGCTTAGAGAATGCTGAGGAAGCAAGAAAATAGTTTGGGGGGGAAATGATTAATGGTAGGTGTGAAGAATGTTGTCTTGCCTGAATAAAGCCTTCTAGGGAATTGACAGTGGGAAGAAAAAAGATTAATGAAATCATCCGAAGTTTTTATGAGACTTATTCAGATCTGGTCCCTTAGTCTCGGAGGATTTGAACAGTATCTTTTGGAAGAATTAAAGTTTAATTCAGAAAATGAAAAGGATGTAGAACATCAGATTTTGTTACTAATGGGAGGAGAAATTTGGCAAAGATAAGGATTATGGGAATGATAATACTTTAATACAAAAATTATCTAAGATTCAAGGTTATCGACCTTTTATAATTAAACCATCTGCATTTCTTCTGGCATATAACATTGATAGAGAACATAAGAATTTCTCCAACCTGCAGTAGTAAGAGCTCTTTCACTATATTTTTGATTGACACAAAAATCATACATTTTATGGGGTACCGTGTGATGTTTCAGTACATGTGTGAAGTTGAAATCAGAGTGAGCCTCTCCACTGAAATACTTATTATTTCCTTGTGGTGAACACGCATTCAAAATCCTTTCCTCTAGCTTTTTTGTATTACACAGTACATCTTTATCTAAATATAAGTTAGTATCCATTGATACCCCTCCCATTTCCTATTCTCCCCCACTTCTGGTAACCACTGTTATACTCTCAGCTTCTATGAGATCAACTTTTTTTAATTCCACGTATACTAGCCTGTCTTATTTCACTTAACAGAATGATTTCTGGTTCCATCCATGTTGTTGCAAGTGACAATATTTCATTCTTTTTTATGTCTGATTGCTATTATATTGGATAAGAGGGACAGTGTTTTTAATGATAGACAACTGATGATCAACTCAACCATTCAAGACTATTTGTATCTTTTTTGAGACATATGCTTTGCATAAGTTTTATGTCAAAGTTTACCAAGACCTAAACAAATGTGATTTCTGATGGAAATGAAAGTTAAATGACTAAACTTTTGAAGAGTTCTGGTACTTTTAATAATTACCAGAATCACTTTTTAAAGGATGTATTTGAAGTATTGCTATTATAAAAAAAATTAACCATCTTGTATTTCAGAAAATTAAATGAATCATGATATTCAAAGTATCATGGGATGATGGCAAATACAGGTGGCAAAAGTGTCACTGTTTCCCACAGTATTCGACACTGGTCCCATTTTAAAATAGTGCAAAGGAATGTTGCTCTAAACAACAGTTCTCTATTTGTGTATCTGACCAGCAGCAGCAACTAGGAACATGTTGGAAATACATATTCTCAGACTCTACCCAAAGCCTACTGGTTCAGAAACTCTGACATACAGATCAGGAATCTGCATTTTCACGGGCCACTGAGGGATTGCGATGTGCATTAAAGACAGAACCACTGGGCTGAATTAAGATGCCCATTTGCATTGTGCAAACAGAAGAGCCATAATTCCAGTTTGGTACACTTTTGGAGAACTAAGCTTAATTCATAAAGAGCTAGAATTTTTTTCCAAAAGGGTGTTTTGAAAAGTTTTCAGCCAAAAAACTTGATTTAATTCACTTGAACTAACCTTTGTATAATTATCTCTAACATGTGAGTCATCCTGGTTCTTTTTCTTTGTTTTGTTTCTGGTTTTTTTGTTTGTTTGTTTGTTTGAGACAGGGTCTCACTATACATAGCCCAGTCTACTCTAGAAGTCAATATGTAGCTCAGGCTGGCCTCAAACTTACTGTTCTCCCTCCTCAGCCTGGGACTACATATGTGTACCACTACACCTGCTCAGCCTGGTTCATAGCCCAAGTGATTACAGTAGATGTTTGAGTGTTGTACCTTGTACATAAACATCACTCAATAAATGATGGGCTAATCATTATTTTTATCTTGGTTAAGAGAACAGGAAATGCATTGTACAGGCCAGCTGGAAGAAGCAGACCCACAGTAATCCTCAACTCCATCATTTTGTTGGGTTTTTTTTTTCTTTTACCATTTTTAATGATAAAAGATTTTTTTAAGGTTAAACATAAAATTACCATATGTTTCAGCAATTCCACCTCTGTATAAATAAAAGAATTAAAAACACAAGCAAATATTGATATACCCATGTTCACAACAGTCAGAAGGTAGAAACAAATGAAATGTCCATCAAAGAATGCATGAACAAACAAAATGTGATGTATCCAAACAAGGGAATATTATTCAATCTTAAAATGGAACTAAATTTGATATATGCTACAACATGGATGAACACTGATGTTAAGTGAAATAAAGTAGACACAAAAGGACAAATACTGTAAGACTCCATTTACATGAAGTACCTGGAATAGTCAAATTCATTGACAGAAAGTAAGGTAATAATTTCTAGAGACTGAGAATGAAGAGTTGTTCTGTAGGTACAGAGTTTCAGTTTGGGATGATGAAAAAGGTTTGGAGATGGATAGTAGTGATGGCTGTAACAACAATGTAAATGTATCTAATGCCAATGCACTGTTGCTTAGCTTAAAATAGTAAATTTTATGTGATGTATATTTTACCACAACTTAAAAAAATTTAAACCATTGAAATTCATCAAAACTGGTCTAGGGCCAGGAGCCAGTGGTCACACCTGTAATCCTAACTGCTCAGGAGACAGAGATCAGGAGGATCACAGTTCGAAATCCAGCCTGGATAAATAGTCCACAAGACCCTGTTTCAACAACAACAGCAACAGCAACAAAAAGGACTGGTGGAGTGGTTCAAGATGTAGACCCTGAGTTCAAACCCCAGTACCACCAAAAAAAGAAAAAGTCTAGCATTAATTGAGAGACCTTTTATTTGGATGCTGGACCTTGAAATTCAGGTTTTTTCAATTCAAAGAAAATATTTATATAGCAAAGACTCTAAGTAACGATGACATAATAGGTAAACAGTCAATGTCAAGACACAAATAGGTCGGAAAAGCTCTTGATAACTAAACATTGTTTCATTCAACCTTAGCCTTTTTTTTTTAAGTCACTGCAGTTAGTTGCCCTTGTCTTCAAATGGTATATACCAGTATGGCATAAGAGTTTTAGAACTCAGAAGTAAAAGAGGGGATAGTATATCACATCTTAAATTATTGATTAACAGCAAAACCAAAATCTCAAGACTGGAGGCATAGATCAAGCAGTAGAGTGTCTGCCTAATACGTGTGAAACCCTGAGTTCAAACCCCAGTACCACCAAAGGAAAAAAAAAAAAAACTCATTTGAAAAAATAAAAAAGTTCCCATTTAACCTAGTATATTGTCAGTGTCTTAAAAAATGAAGAACTGTTGCCCAGCACTGGTGGAACTCATCTGTTAACATGACTTTTTGGCATTGGTAGTAAAACAAAATTCTCTGGACCCTTTGGCTTTATAGACTTCTGTAAATCTCTGTAACCCATATAATGAGTCACATACATTAATATGGTATTGTGCAAGGAGCAATGAGCCAGGAGGTGCTGTTTGACCTTGGTTCTTCACAGTGGGTTATTTAGCTTGTTTACTGTGTCTTCGGGATCCCTACTTCTGTGGAACCACTAACTCGTCCCTACATAGACATCCTTATGTCTCCCATTCCATGTGGCTACCTTAGCACTTGGGCCCATGTTTGCCCTTGGTTAATATTTCATTGTAATTTGGAATTAAACTAAACTTGTCCAGGGAAACACGTATCAGTATGAAATCTGTTTACTCCCAGGGGAACCTGAGGAGAGCTAGCTTTAGTATTGTCATGGTATCTTTTACCCTATGTATATTTTTGATAGGGATAATGTCTAAGTCAAGATCTGGTCACAGGGGAGCTCTTATGTCCAGAATAGTATCTGAAAAAGGAATGTCTTCAGAAGCTAAGGCATGGCTGAAAGTCTGCCAAGCTGAGGAAAAAAAGAATCAGAATAAAAATTCAGTGTTCACACTCTGAGATGCCATTTCCCAAAGTGCAGACACCTACTTACAGTGTCAAGTACCCATGGTCTTCCTGGTGGTACTTCAGCTAGTCATCTAATCTCCTGTTTCAACTAAGTGGAGTCTGGCCACATTTCCGTGTGACAGCACGTACCTTTACAAACCAAAGACAGACTTCACACCCTAAAAAGCCTCTCTCTCCCTTCCTCCACCCATGCCCAGCAGACATCAGCTGTGGATTTTCTTACCCCATACACTAGATGCTCTTTTATTGCATGTTGTGGCAGGAGAGAAGGATTAAATTACTGAGGCTGTCAGAAAGGACAGGCACTCTGCCATATATTATCATTATCACTCGCTTCTTGGGTGAAAGAAAATGCAGTAAATCCCTCAAATACAAAGCAATAAAGACTGCTGGCTTTTACTGTCATGACTGCCAGTGCCATTAACAGGCGGTGACAGTGATATGGCACTCTTAGATGTTGCTTGTATCTTTTCTGACAGTGTGCACATAAACCTGCCAGTGACATGACATTAGATCACATGACTATTCAGATTTGATTCTGGTTTCTGGAGCTGTTTTCTTTTCCCAGGCATATAAGTGTGGTAGCATGACTTGTGTCTTTCAAAACAGGTATTTGTAAAAATACAGAATGGTCCTAATGTAGCATATCCCTGAGTGACTTCTTTTTGTGCATTTTTTTCTTTTGGTATAGTGATCTACATGGATAAAGAAAACAACCAAGCCAAAAGAGACGTCTTAAAAGCTATTCTGCAAAAACAAGAAATGCCTAACCGAAGGTATATTTAAACAATTTAAATTGTCTGATGGTTTATATAAAGCATATCTCTGTAGCATGATGTGGTTAAATAAAAGGAGGCTGGCACAAGATGAGGTATCACAACACCTGGGCTCTCTGACTTACCCCATGTCCTTGAATTGAGTACATGACCTCTCTGGGTCTCTTTCCTCCTACAGCTATAGTGACCGTGCCTACCATACAGAGTAACTATGAGGATCCAGAAGTAGTTCTTTGAAGACCAAAAGACTGAATTATATAGAAAGTATCACACTGCTCTTCAAGTGTACTGAAAACCATGGAGCAGATCGAAAGGAAGAGTCATGTGCTTGGGTAGAAATTCTTGTCCATCACCTACTTACTGTCTGACCTTGGAAAAATCACATAACTGCCCTGTGTTTTGTTTTCTTCATCTGTAAAATGAAGATGATAATCCCATGGAGGGTTATTGTAAGGATTAAGTGAGATAACTTATGAGACACAGGCCTAAGAGTAACTGAGACATAGCAAGTGCACACAGTAAGTGCTCATTGCAATCATTATAGGTAGTAGTGAGTTTGTAATAGCGGTTCAACCTCTCAGGTAACTTGTATTATACTATCATTATTTTATAATTCATATTAGTTTTTAATGTGCTTTTTTTTTAAATTTGAGTAGGAAACTTTGAAATTCTGATTCAGTAGAAAAAAATAAATCTTATCTTGAGCGGTTGTCTAGGTGCTACTTTACCCCTGAGCTGATTTGCTCCAGTGACCCTTTGCTGGCCTAGGTAGGCCCTTTCTCTCACCCTTGTCCTCTCTCCTTGCCTTTGTGGCCCTGGAGTGCCACAGCCTCTCAATGTCTTAAAAATAGTCATCTTTGCAATTCAAGTTCTTGCCTTTCCAAGAGGCCATTAAGTGAATGGTAAAGACATTGTTTTTTGTTTGGGGAGGAAGGGAAGGAATGTTTGTTTGTTTGTTTTTATAAGACAGAGTCTCATGCTGTAGCCTAGACTGGTCTCAAAGTCTCCATCCTCCTGCCTCAGCCTTCCAAGGGCTAAGATTACGAACATACTCCACAAGCCAGCTTAAGACATTCTGTTTTTCAAAAGAGCTCCTAAACTCACATTTCCCTTCTATTTTAAGAAGAAAGATTGAGATTCTTAATTTTGGGATGTGAGAGTAGCTTTTTCAGTAGCTCCTTGGAATATATTTATACTTTGGATCTCAGTTTCTGCATCTGTAAAAGGGGTGGGGAGCCCTGCAATCAGCCTGAGGTTCTGCTTTTCCTAGGGTGGTAATCACTCAACTTTCAAGGCCCTGTCAAAACCCCAGCTCCCAGGATTATCCCAAACATCACCAAAACATGACAGCATTGGCCGTGGCTTTGCTCCGTGAGCCTACAGAGCCAGTGATACTGTCCAAGCAGAGTTCCCATGCACAAGTCCTGGGCTGGGATTTGGTCCTCTTTGTCTGCATCTGTGTCCTCAAGTGATAGAGTGCATCTGTGTCCTTGTTTCTGGAATGGTAGAGATTATAAGTAGCACTCCTCCTTGGGAGATAACAGTTTTGTTTCCTTAAAAGTTTGTTTTTGTTTTTGTTTTTTAACATTAAAAGCCAGGCTCTGCTTTCATTTTTGTCTGCCTTTCCTCAGAAGACTCATTTATTTGTACCAGAATAGGTAAAAACCTTAAAGAGCCTATAGTGACTGTAGGGACTCCTATCCTCCCATCATTGCCTCTCTAAAAATGTCCAAGGGCCCCAAAGAGACATAAACATTCATGTCATTTTTTAGAAAAATCTAAAGAAGTATCACAGGCAGGAAGTGACTGACCCCAGGCTAACAACTGTTGATTGAGCACCCAGAGTGCTGACCTCCATGGCAGAGGATGACCTTTGCCATCCTGAGGGAAGATGGGTGACATTTGCATCTTCCCATAGCCACAGCCAATGGTTGACTCAGCCAGTGTTCTCACCTTCTTAAGTACTCAGAGATCACATTACTTCACATGACTTAGAGTAGCACCTAGTTTATGAGAACTCGTTTTCTCAGACAGCAATTGTGATAACTTATAGCCACAGCTAGTGTCTGGCCAGTCTTCTGGACATGTCTAAAGTTTAGACATTGTGTAATGAATTGTTATAGTGCTTTTTCGTGCAGCCCCATCCCACCATGTATTTGGAAACATACAAGTCTCACTTTAAAAGAGAAGTATCACTACAATGGGACTTTAAAATTATTTACCTGGAAGTCATGGTTTGGACACGGATTCAAAGTTCCTTTTTGGTTTCACTTTTTTCCCTTTAGCAGTGTTCTACTAAATAGATCCACAACTGAGAAAAACTATAATAACAAGTAAACAAATAAACCCATTACATATTGTGATAATTAGTAACAGAAAATTGAACAAGTTAAATGTTTAAAGAGAAAATAACAGAAGGCAAAACTGAGGAGTAAGGATTCAAGCTGATTTATGAAAGATGAGAGGACCTGATCAAGTCACAAGAGCCAGGGCAGACAGTTCCAGACTGGAGGAATTGCAAGCGCAAAGGAAGATGCTGAGGGTGTTCCAGGGCCAGGCAGGGAGGGTTGGCAAGACTGCTTTTGTAGTGGTGGAGCATCCAGGAGGGTCTCTTGATGTTTGCACCTCCATAGGGGTGCTTGGTCTTAGACTCTACAAGTCATGGAACAAGACTCCACGTTTGTTCTGGCAAGGTTAAAGTTAAGATACTGGGGGGGGAGGCAGCAAACTGGTTTTACTTTTTAAATAATAGTGAACTTTCCTGCATTTGAACCTGATTTTATAGCTTCTTCATCTTTCTTCCTTCTTTCTTCCCTCTCTCCTTCCCTCCGTCTCCCTCTCTCCCTCTCTCCCTCTCTCGTTCTCTTTCTCTTTCTCTCTCTTCTCTCTCTTTCTCTCTCTCTCTCTCTCTCTCTCTCTCTCTCTCTCTCTCTGTGTGTGTGTGTGTCTCTCTCTCTCTCTCTCTCTCTCTCTTTCTTTCTTTCCTTCCTCTTTCCACTGGGTCTTGTATGTTACCCAGGCTCAAGAGATCCTCCTGTCTCTGTCTCCCAAGTGCTGGGACACGAGGTACACACCACCACCCCAGTTTTATTTTTAGTATCTTCTTTTGCTTTCTACAGAATTTAAACCAGAAATACTGCATTTTAACATTTCTAACCCTTTCTCTGGAATTTGAAATTTTTTTCCTCTCCTTTGGTGTCAGAATTCTCATATATTCAGTGAAGGTAATAGTTTACATTTATAAAGTGATGCAAATATGATCCTTAAATATGAGTGTTTTATATATATATATATATATATATATATATATATATATATATATATATATATATGAAAGATACATAAAACACATGAAAATAATACTGTTACAGTAGAACCAAGGAGGGTTGGCCTCCATCTTCTCTGTATGTCTTGTATTGTTAAATGTGTATCACATACTTCTTTTAATTCTTCCTCTTCCGAGCACATTCATTTTAGGACAACTTCTTTCATCAGCACTTTGTTTAATTGAGTAAATACAGTTAGTGTATAATTTGGGAATCTAAGTTCCATTTGAAACATACTTTCCATACTGTCTTTTTCCTCTCCCTTAGAAATAGTGAAGCATAAGCAGCTCTGCTTAGAGTTAAAATGGTAATAGTAAAAGAACAAACATTCACTCAGTGCTTACTGTGTTCCAGACACTGTTTATGTGTATCATCTCATCTGATCCTCACAAGAACCCTTTGATACAGTTATAAGTATCTCCACTCTTCACATAAGGAAAATGAAATCAAGAGAGGTTAAGTTATTTTTCCCAGGTCACACAGCTAAATAAGTAAGAAAACAGGAATGTGAATGAAGAATGGATGACCTCATCCACTCCATCTATCCTACACGTCATATAAAATATCCATTTTACCCACTTGAACACCAGGATCTGCACTCTTCATAATTATTTTGTAAGGAATGAAATGCTGAATGTTTACATTTAACAAATTGGTTAAAAATATTGCCATGTTTATAAGCATTTGGAAAGGATTTTATTTGTACTTTTTAAGGCATGATTTCTCAGAGACCTAAGTTTTTATGTTTCTTGTTTTGTTTTGATTTGGAATAGATACATTTCAAAAAGTTTAAAGTGGTAACATTTACAAGCATCCGTGGTTTAAGCTTTGCTGCCAAGACATATCAAAAGAGTACTTAACTGAAATTCCTGTCATTGGTCAATCCAAGTGTGTTTGGCCCTAGCACAAGCCACTAATTCAAATCAGTTCCATCAGAACCCTACAATTATGTCTCTAAAAGTAAAATAAAGCTCGGATTGTATGATTGTAAGTTAAAGGATTGCTGAAGTAATACAAACATTTGATATAGCTGTTGGACAGAGCTGTATCTTTATCTAACATGACTCAGAATGTTACCCAGGGAGCTCCATCTCTGAATTTCATAAAACACATACAGTTGGTTACGCTGCCAACCCCAGAAAGTGTTTCTACAGCATTTCTGTAGAAAATGCTGATTGTGTAAGCTACACAGTCTTTATTCACTTTGTCCTTTTAGTCTTAAAAGTAGAGGTATCAAAACATGGTTAGATATTGTGTAATGGAGTGAATCTGGTGCTTCCTTTACCCAGACATTTTCCTAGATTGTAGAGAAAAAGGCCAGTTGGTGCTTAGAAACTCGAGGTGGCATTCATTTGAAGTTGTAAGAGTTGGTATGAGAGCTCAGCTGACCCTGTGTAACTTTCTTTGTATTGGGATCACTGGAAGCATGAAGACTTCCTCCCTGGGAATCAGCACCTGGGTGAGAGTCTTCTGTCATGGTGACTTGTACATGGTGGTGATTTTCTCTGTCCTTGACCTTGCAGCATTCGATTCACCGTGGTCAGCGACCCCCCAGAGGATGCACAGGATCTGGAGTGTGAGGATATTGGCGTTGCTCACATCGACCTTGCCCATGTGTTTGAGGAAGGACAAGACATCATGGAGCAGAATATTGATGGTATGAGTGGAATTGTGCTCAGTTTGCCCATCCAACATTTGTAAAAGTCAAAACTCTATTACCTTCTTCCTGCTGGATACAGGGGAGGTGATCCATGCATTAGTCAAATCCTTTGCAACTCAGGCTGTTTCTGTTGAAGCCAGAATTCTCTCTATATACCCTCCTCCTCTGCCCTCTCCCTCTGCCTTCCTTTGACTGTAAAATAATTAATTAAGCTTTACAGGAATTGTTCATTTTTTAGAGGGGGAGTAGAAATTGTTTGGTTTTTAGTCTTGTTTATGGAAGCCACATTTTGGCTAAGGCACTTGACCCTTACGTGTGTTACCCTGCTTATGTTCATGGAAGCCTCACTTCACCCAAGGCATTCAGCCTTCAGCTTGTTATTGAGTGATTATGGTAATGTCTTTCTCACCATTTCTCTCTAATTCAGTGTTGCAATCCAGTGACACAGTCACTCAAGTAACTCTGGGAAGTTTGAGTCACTTATTTCCCAGCAAGATTCCAACAGGAGGAAGGGATTCCTGACAAAATGTGCTGTCTTGGATTTTCACTTCATAGGTGTGATTCCCAGCAGTGCTCAATGTTTGTCTTCTATTCTTAGCTAACAGATTTACATATGATGAAGGAACTGTTTTTTATAAAAGAGACTTTTTACAATAAAAATCAAAGGAGGCCTGAGCTATGTACAGTAAGTGGAGAGATGTGGCTGATTCCTAGTCTCTCATTTGTTAACTTAGCAGAGCCATCTCTGAGAAAATGTTCATGGCCTGTTCGCTTGTTCATGCATGCATTCAACAAACACTTATCTGAACACCTCCTAAGTCCCTGATATTCTGTTCACCATGGTTCTTTGCAAGGCTGCTTGTCCTGGATTATGTGTCAGGTGTTCAAAAGTCAGGATCAAACCAAATAATTCTCCAAGTTAGACCAGACCAATGAATTAGAAGCCTGCTCTGAAATCTTCATGAAGTGTACTTCTCTAACCTGTGCCAGTGGATTACAACTTTAGCACAGAAAAAAAAAGATTAAAATATTACTGTTTTATATATATTCATATATATATAAAACAGTAATATTTTATATATCCTGTTAAAGACTCTCAGGACCAGGAGAGTCTGGCAAAACTCTCTGCTCTATAGTCTGGGTATCCTCTTGCCATCAGCTCTATTTAGCAGTCCATCCTCTGTGAGACCACAGGGAACACTGGACTCGCATTCATGGCCATGTCTGGGAAGCACGTCATATTATGCCATGAGTCAAATGCTTTGTTCTGTGTCACATAGAAACAAGCAGTCCCCAGGAAGAAGTGAAAACTTGAAGGAATAGGCAAGGCACCACTGGGCCACTGTGCTTTCCCCAGCTGCCCATTTCTGCAGCTTAATTTTCCTTGAAGGTTTCCTCACAAATGTTCTTTTAGTTAAAACACATATAGCTGGATGTGATAGTGCATGCCAGTAGTTCCAGCTATCCAGGAGGCCAAGGCAGGAAGATTACTAAACCCCAAGAGTTTGAGGCCAGCCTGGTCAACATAGTTAGACTCTGTCCTTAATTAAAAAAAAAAAAAACCCACACACATTGTTAAAGTTCAAGAAAAACCACAAGGAATATAAACAGAAAACTACAAACTTACAAAGTCCAGGATTCTGACCCTAGGTCATTAGCAAGTGTCATTGTCCACAGAGGAATGAGTCTTAGATACTAAATTGGCATCCCACCTGGCCATGCTCAGAGAAACCCAAGTCTTTAAGTCAAGTAAGCTATCTGTGAGACACCACTGAGAGTAGGGGGCCCTCTCCTAAGAAGAGCCCACATACACACAAAAAGTCCATGGATCTCAAGCCAGTCCACAGACCTTAAGATTCGTGGGCCTGCCATTTTAATGTTTCCTAACTTCACATAAAACCTACTTCAGATGGAATGTTTTCTTTAGAAAGATAAGTAACCAATCCAAATTATATTATGTAACATCTTTACAGTGGTTTGCCATTGTGAAATTTGTTATTCACACTGTTTGTTGGAACACAGTCTGCTTCATTGTTATGTCTTAATCCCATTTAGACTTTTTATTTCTTACTCAGAAATTCTGATTGTGTGGGAGTCATAATCTTACAGTGTTTTTGCTAGTTAAACTTCAGGACTAGATCATTAGTTTTGACTCCACAAACAAAATGTACACACTATCTATAATATTCATTTTCATGTACATATGACAGGGTTTTGTTTTTTAGATTTCTGACATGTCGGTGGATTTTGGGCTTTTACAGAGCTATTTCATCTTAATGATTGTTTCAGCTAGCCTACCTCAAGGAAAACCTGAAGAATGATACTGACATTTGCCTGCTATTTTCTCCCTAGTTTTTGACGCCCGAGCAGATGGTGAGCGCATTGGCAGGCTCCGGGTGACAGTGGAAGCCCTCCACGCCCTCCACTCAGTCTACAGGCAACAGCAAGAGCATTTGGAGGCTTGAAGGAACCACTCTAGAGGCATCTCCTACTTCTGAGTAAATGCCCACATGAAGCCACGATGAGATTTCCTGTAATTACTCTGGTGTATACAATCTATAATTCATGGGGCACTTGAGGAGGGGGCTGGGTTTGAGCTTGAAATGTTTGAGTTTTTGTATAGTTTTTCATTTGTTTATTTTTCTATTCCCTCCTTGCCATGACTGCTAACCCTCAGGATGTAAGTTCTCTGTGATGGGTAACACCTCAATAATTTGTACCTACGTGATAACATGAGAAAGTCTATTTGCATTTTCAACATTTTCCTAGGAAGAACTGAGATACAATTTTCATTTTTATTTTTAATAAGCAAAAGCATAAATCTTGGAAAACCTATGAAAAAAGAAATACTTTTATGTTATCCCTAATCGTTCCAAAAGTCTATTTGCATTTTCAACATTTTCCTAGGAAGAACTGAGATACAATTTTCATTTTTATTTTTAATAAGCAAAAGCATAAATCTTGGAAAACCTATGAAAAAAGAAATACTTTTATGTTATCCCTAATCGTTCCACTAAGTGAAACGCCTATGATTAGCCTCATTAAGAGTTTTATACTGTGAAGATTTTATTAGAGGCAATCTATGAAAATTACTTGGATTAATGTGTTAATCTTCCTCTTTAAAATGCTAATATCCATTCTGTGCACATTAAAGCTCAGTATGCATTTTCCTTGATGCATGCAGTTTCTATCAAATATAAAGAAGAAGATTTGGCACCAACTTCCCAATTACTGTAAGTTATTTGTTTTTATTTCTTAAAAATCATAACTATTACTATTTTATTGCATTCATCTATTGTAGTGATGACATGGGACCCAGGGGTATATGTATATAAAGAAGAAATAGAGGGGTGGATGGCCAAATGGATGTGAAACTCAAACTTTGAAAACTTAGCCTATGGCATAGAAATGATTTAAAAATATGACTCAAATTCTGCTATGCTTAGGTAGACCTGAAAGGAGTATCTTTTTATCATTTCTTTAAACTTACATCAAGCTTATACAATGCTAGGATGTATCTGGATAACCAGGTCCTCAAAAAGCAGCTCAGAAAGTTAATTTTCTAGCTTTTACCCAATCTCACTGAGGATTTAATTGATATTTTTAATGGAGCTGTGAATCAATGCTGCAAAGGAATTGTCTCTAGAGGTCTAGGATATAATACATTTCATTTTTTAATTTACTTTTTTATTTGTCATTTTCTTCAAAGGATTTTTATAGGCTGTGGGTTTTCACTGTTTGCAAACAGGCTATGTTCCTTTTTAAGCATATGTAAGGTATTCAGGGAGATAAGTAATTTATTAAAATCTACCTAATTTGCCGTGATATATTAAATCTCTGCTTCAGTGATCACAGACCATTTCATTTAGAGAATTAGGCATTCCCTCTTTGTGTGATTAAAGCTCTGGAAAATGAGTTCTTTGCTCCTATTTGTGAACATTCAAAGCCTGCTAATGGCAAGAAGATGGAATAGATTATGAGACAATTCATTACAGTTCAACAGGGAAAAAAGCAGCTATAATGCAAAAATGCAAGTATGAATATCTGCATATAGTTTGAACCATCTGTGCTCTAATGGCTTCAATAATGACTCTCGTCTTTAGGAGGCTTTGAAATGACATCCATACAATATTAATTTGTTGCTATACATTGTGGGACCAGTAGAGTATGATCTGACCACAGAAATCTATAAATTTTGTCTATACCATTGGGCCTCCCTGTCCTGGAGCCTGCCATCTCCAAAGGGGAATCTTGCTCTCATCAAACTCTGCAAATCTTTCTAACAACTCATTCCTCTGGAACCTTCTAAAGACCACAAACATCTGCAGACAAAACTGTTCCAATCCTAGTAAACAACCACATGTTTGTTGTCACTTCAGCTGGCTCTGAGCTCATCTTTTTGGCCTCTCTTTCTAGCTTTCTTTGGCTTTGTGCAGTTACAGTGTCATTAAGGCCCATAATATTCTCTGCAGTAATTTAAAACAGCCAGATTATACTCTGGGATTAACTGAGTGGTTTTTGAGACATTTATTGTGGTATTCTCCCAGGAGGTTTGTATTATTGTTTTAAAATGTTACATCCCAAATTAAAAACCCTTTCTGCAGAGAGAAGAACTGGATTGTGTTGACTTTTAAGGTCTTTAAGTGAAGAAGGGAATTTTTTTTACCAGAAAACTTCTGAGAGCTAATCAGTTGTTTAGAATCCATACCTCAGATAGGATTAGGAAATTAGTCATTTCTCTGACACTCATGTTTACTGTAATATTAAAGATTTATTTTCTAGTTTTAAAATACCTTCAAAACTCTTGCAAATTTTCAAAACACTCGTTTTCACATGGAACAACTACCAACACTTTTTGAGGTGGACAAGTTGTATTGAGTGCTCTCATATGGAAATTCATTGGGATTATTTGCTTTGTTTTGTTTTGTGAAGCTCACCACCTTTTGGATTAAAGAGTGACGGTTTTCTCTCAGTAAGCCCAGCTTGATCTGTAAAGGGTGGCCGAGGCGTGGGGCTGCTAGTGGCAGCCTTCCCCATAGATTCACCCATTTAAGGTGAGGCTTTTGTGAAGTCACAGCTCTCAGTGTAACTGCAGAGTACACTCAGCACTTTTTTGGGGCTGTAATGCTTTTAGTTTGGAAGTATAAATAGAGATGTGATGTGGCATGTGGGAGAGTGTATTTTACATGGTTTTTTGCCTACTGTGGTAGAAATGTCAAATTCCCAGCCACTGTCATGAGAAGCAGTTGACAAAAATAAGTTTTATGGTTTACAGTGTGGTTTATGGAGAGAACATTTCTCCTCACTCTCGGTTTCAACATGTTTTCTAAATTATCATGGTTTGTTGCCATTTAACTTAAATTAGTTTTTTTAAGAATAAATACAGAATATGTTTAATCAAATAAAGAAAGGCCACATTGAAATTCTGCTGTTCCTGCCATTCATTTGTTACCACAAAGCACAAATAATTTCTATGTGTGATGGAGAAGAATGGGTTGGGAAGTGGTCATGTGACTTAGGAGGGTCTGCATACACCCATGTTCCCACAACAAAACATAAATTATTTTAGTAATCTGACATCAAGAGCTGTGACAATGAAAACCAGTTCTTACACATGTTCTAACAAGAATCTGATTAACATTTTTGTGAAAATGGAAAATAACTTTTTTAGTCAAACTGGCACTATTGCTGAATTTAGAATGATTTCCTTATGTACTAAATAGCAAAATGTGAATCATGTCTGTGAACAAATATGAGAATAAAATGCCATCTTTGTGTAATACAAAACAACCAAAGGAGAGCTTTGGGGATATAAAATTATTGAGTGATTGACACTATCGGGATGATAATTCATCCCCAACGATGAGAGTACATTTTAATAAATCACTCATGCCTGAAGGCCTCTGACTACCTTAACAAAGAAAAACTAAAGCCGTGATTTATTATAGATTGGGCAACATGCCTAATTAAACCCATGAATGGGAGCAAATGCAGCTTTACATCCCCTTTGTTCAGAACAAAAAACAACCTCCAGGTCAACCAGAAAGCTAGACAATATCAAAGCAGCACAAACAAGTGTTTTAAAAACTAAAAATACAGAATTAGAAAACATCTCATTCCAATCTCTTTTATCTTGCAAGGTAGAATTTTCACTTCCATTTCAAAGTGCCACTAGTAGACTGTACCTTACAGTCTGACCTTCTGGGAAACTGGGCCCATATTACAGGTACTGGCTACCTTTTGTTCTTGCCCCTTCATTTTCCAAATGACATTCGCTAATATAGTAAGTTGTGTTTCTCCTTCAGGCTTCTGAAGCAAAGCCTGGCACTCTTAGACAGAAGATGGCTTCTTTTCTGAAGTAGGTGCCGCCTTCTTTTTGCCCTTCTTCCCCCTACAGAGATGCACACTGTCATCCAGCAACAGCATCACCTCTGTATTCACTAAACACCATGTTTTGTGTTGTTGTTTTTAAATTAGCATGTTCATTTTTACATTTCTTTCATTGAATCTGTTTACACGTATATGCAGCTGGATATCCAATCTCATCTGTCCATCTGCCTACTTTTTTAAAAAGTAAATCAAAGTACGTTTTTCCTCCTCCTTTCTACTGTTCTTTTGTGGTGCTTCAACCACTCCTTTAGATACTAGCAACTGTGACAGCACGAGAGGCCTTCCCAAGCATTCCTTTCTGTGAAGAATTGGCTTTTTCATTCATTTTACCTTTTTGAGACAAGAGTCTTGCTACATAGCCCAGGTTAGCCATGCTTAAACTTGCAACCCTCAGCCTCCCAAGGAGCTGGGATTACAGGCACCTAACCCGGCTCAAATTTGTCTTAATTCACATGACCAGGCACTCTTAGCCCTTATGAAACTGAGGGAAGAGCAAGCTAATTTTTATATATTTTCTTCTTGTACCTTTTCATAAGTCTCAGAGGGAGGGTCTCCAAACACATTCAGGAATCACTGTTAAGGAGCTGAAACCTAAGAAAGATTTTGTTGTTTTGTTTTGTTTTTTTTAATTTAAGGAAATACTTCATTAAACTGAAGCCTTCTTTGATGCAGATATGTTTTGTCATAGTTAAACATGTTTAAACATGTTATTGACAACAGGGACAATAAGAACTTTTAGAAGAAAACTTAAAAGACTAGAAGTCAGGAAAACTTGTAATGAAGCGAAGAAAGAAGCAGTAACACAAGAAAGGCATATCAAGTGTATAAACATTACAGCATCTTAACAGTTTGCAGTCAGACTATTAGAGTTCAAAGTAGAAAACAAAAGAGAGACTGTACTGGTACAGGAACAGTAAGCCTGAATATAGCAAGGCATACAACTCCTAAACCATCAGGCAACAACCGACAGAGCTGTGGGGAAATATTCTGGCTGCATCGATTTTAGTAGCAGGTTTTAACTTGCAGAGGGTGACAGATCAAAAACTTAAGACAAAGTCTAGATTTGCTTAGTATGTTTACTAAACTCAAACAGATATAGAATGCACATGGAACATTCAAAGAAA